TATACATTAATTATTATTATTCCAGTTTAACTTGGGGTTGTTCTTCTAGTATGAGTTATAGATATTAAAATATGGGCTATTAAGATAAATTCCTATGGAATTTGGGGTCTCTGCAGGCATAGTGCTATAATCTTCTATTTGTTTATAAGTTAATTCATCACTTGGTAGAAATTCTTGCACTAAATTCAATCCTAGGTTATCTAACTTCCTAAATATGTCAGCAATTTAAGAAGTCAAAATAGCTAAAATATATGTGTAGTGAACATCAGATACCTTCCAATGACTCAATCTCTTAACAAGCTATTGAAAATGTTTTGACATAAGGGACACCTCAGTTGCAACATTTATTATCAACCTCAAACATCCCACAACTCCTTTATAAAATGTTTGAACAATAAGCTAGTCAGGTTGTGCATGTTGTGGGCACTTTCTAAGCCATTTTTTGGATCTCTCCCAAGCTTAATAAATTGATTCTCTATCTTACCCGACAAATGTTATTATATTGTTACTAAATTTGATAGTTTTGGATGGAGTGAAATATTTTGTTATATTTTTTTTGGGCCCAAAAAAATTGTAATCTATCTTGATGCTAGGAATTTAGCGACATCTTGGCCTTACCCTAAACGGAAAGGGAAAAGTCATAATCTAACAACATTGTTGGAAACATCATTACCTGAAGATGGCACACAATTCTAAGAAATTGGCTCAATCAAGGTCAGGATTTTTTGTGGGTGATCCTCCAAACTGTTTGTTCTGAACCATTTGGATGATATTTGGTTTGTGTTCAAGTGAATTTCTTCTATGATTGGGTTGGCATACTCCCTAAGTGATCTTCCCTAAGTGATCTAGGCATGAAATTAAGCCTAGGTAGGTTATTTTCATCTTGAGGTAAGTTTGTGATTTCACCTAATTTTTTTTTGAGTTTTTTGTTAGTTTTCTTTTCTAAGTTTTCTTATTTTTGTAATAGTTCTCTTAAGTTCAATCTCATAAAACACTAGTTCTAAAGTTCTAGTCCAACACATACACATCTAAAACAAATTAGGGATTATAAATTAATAACAACTCACAACAAATAAAATAATCGAAGTAAAAAATCTAAATAGTTATGTGCATAAATCACAAAGCGAAATCAATACAATAATTCACAATCTTGGAAATACAGTAAAATAAAAATACTAATAAAGCAACAAAAATTGAATGTAAGAAACTATTTTTTTATTTTCTAACACAAAAAATAAAAAAAACAAATACAATAAAAATATGACACAATAATTTTAAGATCTAAATACTAATAGTTCAACTAAAATTTTTCTATATTAGAGATTAGTGTCATTTTGTTGATAACGTTGTCAAAAACTTGATGTCTGAAATGCTGTGAAGCATCGACAATCATACAAGTATATACATCACTAAGTAATATACATATTTGAGTCCATGTATTGATCCTACAAAGAACTAGAAATTACTAATTTTAATTCTAGCATGAAGTGTTCAGAATTTGGTGATTTTAAAGTTACTAATCTTAAAATTTGCGAAAAGTGAAGCATAAGGAAAAGTAGTGAGAATGTTGTAAGATTTTTTATGAATTGAAAAATTCTCCCCTGAATTAGATATTAGGAAACAACATTTAACTATGATAAAATTTATGGGTGACTTTCAAGAATTGATCTCCTCTTTATCCTATCTTAGGCATCTAAGAAGGTTAAAAGCCAAGCGGGTCTAGTTCTTTAAATTAACTGATTTTCATATGATTTTGTTTTTTCCCTTCACAATTACACTAACCTGTAAGCAATATCTATATTCTCCAAATTCCATGTGAGTTAACCTATTTGCTTCGCTTCCCTACTACTGCACAACTAGATCACAACACATATTAACGCATCAACTAGCCAAATTGAGAGTTAATAAAGCAAGAAGTTTAAAACATCACCGCTAAGTAATTTTAGTTTAATCACAACATAAAAATTAAACACAAGATTCCTAGATTACCAATTTAAAGAAAAAATAAAATGTGATCACCACTCATGCATTGACCAAAAAAAGGATATTTTAATCATCAAAGCAAAATAAATACAAGAGTTTAGAAATTATAGAATAGATAGAGTACACCCTTTTATGATTTCACTAGTCCTTCTTTCTTCTTCATAAGAGTAGAACCATATACAAAACAAATAAGAGAACTTTATCAACTCCTCTGTTGAACCCTTACTAAAACCTTTCACTCTTGCAGGCTTTGGACGCACTAGAGCACTGATAGGATGGATGGCAATGTAATCAAGCATGTTTTAAAAAATGCTAGCACTTTCCTTAATAGTTCTAATCTTCTTTCTAGCTGTGATCTAACTATTGTGAGCAACGAAAGACTTACATAAAATATTTCACAATGAAAAATATGAAATATTTGAGGGGTATTTACATACATGCCTCCCAATTCTTTTGAATTTACATATCTAACATCAAAATTTTACTTTTTACATTTAATACCACACAATTCTTTCTTATCATATAAAAAATATCATTATTTTAACTTTTATTTACTCTCGTTTATTGTGCATTATTGCCATATGTTAGAACTTTTGGTTATAAACTATTGCATATCATAGTTGCTATGCATCATATACTTGTTTTTTTACATTTTTTTTGTTTTATACTCTCTTGAAGAAACATTTAAAATAACCATTGCTATAGTTGTTGGAGCACACTATTTTATATAAAATAAACAAATTTCTTTACATCATATTTAAAACAGCTCAAACCTAATTAAATCATACTCAAACATTACTCGAACCATATTAGAATCATTCCAAATCATCCTTGAATTTTGTTCAAACTCTACTCAAACCTTACTCAATCCATACTCAAACTACATTTGAACTTTATTTAAATCCTACTTCAATCTTTTTCGAAACATGTTCAAATATAATTCGAACAATAATTAAACTATACTAGAATTATATTTGAAAATTATTTCTTTGAAGTTGCAATAACGTTAGAGTTATATTCAAATGGTATTCAAATCCTGTTCAAATATGGTTTGAACGAAGCTCGAATGTGTTATAAAAAATTTTAGCATTATTTTTAATTATTGTAATCTTGTTCTAGCCACGATCTATGTATTGTGGACCTTAAGGGACTTAAATTAAATATTTGATGGTCAAAAGATAAAATGTTTTAGGGGCATTTACATACATACATACGGCCTATCAATTTTTATGTATTGACAAATCTATCACCTAATTCTTACTTTTTACATCTATACCAAACGAATCTTTACATCTATACCAAACGAATCTTTCTTATCACATAAATATACATCTATTTTAGCTTTTAAGAAGTGGAAGAGGCATTTTCATGCATGTCAGGTGGCATTTATGTAAAAATGTTTTGATGTTAGATATTTTATTTCATAATAATTAAGTGATATGCATGTAAATCTTCCAATAGTTTTAGTATGCAATGTTGATTTATATATATATTAAATTATTGTAAATTTATGTATTAAAATGTATTTTCCACTTCTAAAACAGATAATAATATTATCTTAAATGTGATATTAAATATTTAACTGCTATATATGTAAATATGAAAATTTAAATATGAGATATATAAATACATAATAATTTTGTGATATAAATGCCACTAAATAAAATCTCTATGATAAAATAAAAAATCCCTGCAAATTCTTGCCTACATCTCAGTCAGTGTAGAGGCTTTTGGCTGGGGGGTTTCCTGTAAGCCTCTGACAAGTTGAAGCCGATTACGCTTTCTAAAGAGTTGTATGACAACAAATGAGATTTAAGTTAGTAGGATTTAATAAATCTTGTATATCCAGATTTAGTGAATCCTAAATGGGTTCAATATCAAAAACTGTTTGACAACATATTTAGTAAATCATATGAAATTGTTTGATAATTTTTTTCGGGACTTAAAAATCTATTATGATTATCAGACTAATAATAAACCATAATAGGATTTAGTAAATTGCATAAATTTTACTTCTTAAAACATACCAAGATAATTAAAATCTGTTAGCTTCTTAAATTCAACTAGTATAGTGTTTCAAATTAGGATAATTAATAATTATAAATTTACAAAATTAATTACTTATTAGTACAATTTTTTTAAATTAATTATTAAATAGAAGTTTAACATCTAAAAAGAATATTTAATTAGTTAATGAACTACTAATAAATTTACTCAATGACGAAAAAAATCAATATATATTTCTATTAATTACTAATTAAATAATAAATATAAATTTATTTAATTATAATCAATCTGATTATATTTGAAGTAGTTATTAATTAATAATTAATTAAATTAATAAAATTAACTCAAATAAAATTAAATTAATAAAAGGGAGATTACATATAGGGCACCCTAATCCTTGCTATTTACAAATCAAGCACCCTCTTTTATCCATTTTTCAAATTCTCACTCAAATATTAAAGGTTATTATAAAACCCCGATTTATATTTTTCATTTTTATTAAATTCATGATGATTTGATTATCACACACGTCGGTTGACTATTCAAAAATCTTCTAGGTGCTTGATTTGTAAATAACAATATTTTTTCTTAACTGTTTGAGTCTCTTACAGCTATTTGAAGAAATAATTGTGAAAATCACTAAAAAAAAAAAAAAAAAAAAAAAAAAAAAAAAAAAAAAAAAAAAAAAAAAAAAAAAAAAAAGACTATTATTAAAAAATATAGTCATAGTTTTTACAGTTTTTTTTTAATTCTATATTATAATTTTCTGACAACCATCATCGTATGTAATTAATAATGATAAACACATTTTTTTGCCACTGCTGTCGAGAACAGGGCAAAACTAAATTTCGACAAATAAAAAATATTACGGTGCCCGCCACCATGGCATAGCGTGTAATTATCCTAAATAAAACCCTCCCGCGCCAGCATCACTCCTCTCCCCGAAACCCTCGTCTACATCACTCCTCTCTACCCGAAACCTGGCGATACAGTGAACCGAAACTCGCATTTTTCTCCTCCTTACGCTCATCTCCTACCCGAAACCATTGACGAAGGTAACTTCACGTCTTCCTTTTTGCGGGAAGCGTCCGTCCTGGATTTGCTAAGTCCACTGATTCGCGGGATTTAGTAAATCCGGGATTTATGGCCGAAATCGGTGAAATCCGGGTTCATGAGGCTTTATTTCGATTCACGGGATTTAGTGAATCCGGGATTAAAGGTTGAAATTGGTGAAATCTGGGTTTATTAAATCCGAGGCTTTATTTCGTCCAAAATGACCTTCTAGCAAGTTTAAATCCAGCTTACATGCTGTTGTAAATCCGTTACCAGACATGCCCTAATATACGCCTCTGTGAAGTAGGGTTTGGTGTATGAGATGAGCTTCCTTCTGAGGACTTTGACGACGAAGAGGGAAGTGGACACGGTGATCAGGGACACGCTCGATAAGGTTCTTGTCCTCCGCTTTGGCCGCGCCTCCGAGCCCGTTTGTCTGCAGCTCGACGACATAGTGAGTACCTCAATTCTTATCCTCACTTCCCCTTTATGATTGTTACTTGGTAATTTTTTTTCTAAATTTGTTACATTTGATGCTTGTGATTTTCTCAGTCTCTGTTCTTGTTTCTGCTTGTGTGTATGGACCTGTTTGGTTGAAGCTTAGTTTTTTGTAAAATTGGATTTATTTTTGAGTAGCATTTCTTCGGTAAATTCTGAAGATTGAGCTACCCGGTTTCAGTTTTAGGAAGATTTCAGGGATTTAATAAATTCTGCTGAAATAAATTTTTTAAATCTCAATTTTATCGTTCTTTGATGAATCCTGGATTTGAGGCAAGATTTTTAAGTCCTGCTGGCTAAACAGAGGGTTTACTTTCGACCGGATTTCAAAGCCTCTTATGGACTGTTTGGTAAATTATAGCTTAAATCTCACCCAAATCTCACTCAAAACAGGCAACCGAATGGGGCTTGTTGTGCATTGGAAATGTTGATCAAGAATTCTGGGTTTTCATGTTTTTTATTTTGATTTCTATGTATTGATAAAGCATTTTTGATGTATGAGATATTTTCTCTTTTGTACTGGGATTATCTTTGATTGTTAGTTATTGATGATCCAGGTGTTAGATATGGAGTTTAAGTTCCCTAAATCATTTTTTATCTGATCATTTTTTCTTAAATTTGGTGGTTAACGAATTAAAGGTTTATTCACACTTGATTTTTCTTGAGTGGTGGTTTTCAAATTCAAGATCAAGATCTTGGTTTTTCGCACCTACCATCTCATTTTGCTCTATAAGAAAGGAATAAATCAATGGTTACTTGACATCCATAACAAGAAGCAATAAAGAGGAGACGAGGAGTAGAGAAAGGAGGAGATGCCACTAGACAAAGAATGGAAAAAGTTTTTCAGGGGCTTGCAAAGAAGAAGTGTTGCAGTTTTTTTGGGTTTTAGCTAAGGGAACAGCCCGTGATAGAGAATAGGTCTAGTTTAAACTCCTATAGTAGAGAGGGAATGAGATTAACTACTATGTTTTAAAACTTTTATGAAGGATTGAGGCGAGTTCCTCAATTTAATCAAAGTATAGGTTTCTAATTAAATCAAGATGTAGATTTTGAAATCAAACACAAAAATTCAATAAATTGCTAAGAAATAGAGAGTATACAAAGTTCATAAAAAATATAACTTTAATTCATAAATGATATATTATAAGAGACCTCACAAAGTTTAAAATTTCTAATAAAATTTCTAAGTTAACAAAATCATAAAAATTAACAACTGAAGATGTAACTAGATTATAACTGAAGTCTTTAATGCCATAAAATCAGCATCATCATATTCGTCATTACTAGTAAAATTGTTTAACGAACCATTGTGACGTCTATGTCCTTCTCATTAATCTCATGTGAGTCATTCTGTTCGTCTTCTTCCTTATCGAACACTATGACATTCTTCTTTTTTTCATTAAATCTATTATAATAAGTACAATCATAACTATCAATTTATTACATATTTCATAATGAATATAATATACTACATTGACCGTTCGAGATATTTGATATTTGATATCATTCGTCTCCGGTGGTTCTTTACAAATTTTCACTAATTTCTATTACATTAGTGTATAAATGTTATTTCTTCATCATCTTCTATTCCGACTACACGTTCTTTGTATGTTTCTCATCCTGGTTGTTCACCCATTCATCATCTGATGGCAAATCATCAAGAATGAATGGATCATCAACATCTATGCGCAAAGTTAATCTATGGTGTCTATATTTTTAACTTTTAGTGTGCTTGATACAAACTAATGTGTTCATTCTAAGCTCATACAAATAATTTCCTCCCTTTGCATTCTCCCGATTGATTGTACTCCAGTTTAGTTTAAATAAAGCAGTTGAGCGTGTTAGATTTAGGAGTTTTACTATAATTACTTTGTGCAGAGATTTTGGTGTTTATCTTCAATGTGCATCCACTAACACTCTAAATTACAAGTTAGAAAAAAATAAAATTAGAATAATACTAATTACATATCTAATAAAATTAATCATAAGTAATATTAAGTTTCATAGGCATCTTGCCAGATGAACGTGTGGATCATAATTGGGTAGCTCTCATGCTAAACATTCCCTTTTTGTGATGATTTCTTCAAGTTGTTTATTAGTTTTTTCAAAAGGTTCTAATGGGCTTATCATTCTCATCTTATATTTTTTACAACTTAATCTTAACCTCTATGCATTTAAAAAAGCTATCATCAAAATGAAATAGAGTTGGAAAAAAATTCTAGCAAGTCGTAAATCACGACGTAATTTTTTGTTCTATTTTTTATTAACAATTTCCTAATCTCCAACTAAATTTTTCACTATTTATTTTTTTGTCTTGTCTATATAGTACTTTAAGTAAAGCCTTTTTGTAGGGCACTTTTCACCGTCCAACATTCCCAACACTAAACGCAAGGCTTTGTGATTTTAGGAGTATTTATCACACTTTGTAAAAAATTATAAAAATTATAATATCTCAGAATAATATCTTTCACTTGTCTATATATTTTGGCCCATGCATTATCATTTTATTCTTCACTCTATGAATGCCTTACAAAGTCAAATAGGCAATAACAAATTGCGATGGTTAGCTGACGGGATCATTATTAGTAATGAGTCCCATTAAACCCAACATCGTATTATGGTTGTAAATAAAATTGCTAGTTTCCTTGTTAAAATTAAAGCATCTTAGGGTGCATTTGTTTGGGCTTTTAAAACCGTGTTGTGAAGCCAACCTCATTTTAGGGTGTTTGATTCGTGTGTTTTCATCCACTATTCCCGAACGCCGTTTCAGATTGTTCTTTATTCGCGTTCGTGGGTGCTGGGATGCATTTCGTAGTTTGCAAATAAATGCACTAGCCCCCCAAATCTACCCTCCCTCGGCTCACCTACTCTCGCTAGATCATGCCCTAGGCACTCGCCTCGCGTCGTCTACGCTTTCGTCGAACATCCGCCTTCCCCTAGGTGTAGCTTCTCCGCCATTCTTCTTCTCCACCATTCTTCTTCTCCGCCATTCTTCTTCTCCGCCATATTTCTTGTTCTAAAGTCTATTTTCTTTTACCACATTTATCTTCTCCCCTTTCATTCTCTGATTGTTCTTCTACCTTCTAGATCCAAACCTCTACATTCCTTCTCGGTAAAATATGCTTTGATGAATATGTTTGTTCATATATTTTTTTATAAATGGGAAGTGTTCATCGGAAGTTTTCTTGGGATATGCTGTATTTGCATGGAGAGGTCGTGGTTGCATCAAATATACCCTAATTTACTTTATAAGATCCTTAAACTTTATCTTTCAGTTCCAGAAATACTCTCAATTCAAATAATTTTACAGCAAACTTCCATCTTCAAATTGAGCACCTCGTTGTTGAAACGGTAAGTCCTACATAAATTCCTTGTTGTCCATTTGAACAATAAAATCCTTTTTACACCGCATACTTATAGCGAATTGGCCACGGGTTTGTCCTATTTTAGCCGAGAGTATTTTACCAATCTTTGGGGTGGTTTTATTTGAAGTCTGTCACTGCTAACATCTTGTGATTACCCTTTGGTGAAGAGGTAACACTGACAATGGAATTTGCTAGATTTGAAGTTATAGCTTTTATTATACTTTTTTGATGGGAAGTGTTTGTTGACCTCATTTTTGTGAGGTCTTTTCCTCTCCTCCTTAGAGCCTAGGTTCTAGCTCTAGAGATCCCTATGGACCATCTTAGAAAACTAGAATTGAGACTCACCCTTCTAGAAGCTCCAGCCGATTCCTATTTTCCTTTGATGTCTAGCATCTTTGGCACAAGACCATCGTTTTATGAACGAGCGGTTATGGGCTATTTTGCAAAGATTCAAGGAAGATGTTCCAAATATGACTTCAAGTCTCAGAAAAAAACATCGTCACGACCTTTTTCGTCATATACACACATCAAATACACGAAATTCACGAATTTGCACGAAATCGGATTTCAATTAAGCCCAAAGGACGGGTGAAAATGCGAACTTCTCCGAATGACCTCCGAAGACAAATTGGATTGCGCCAACGCGTCCGGGGTACCCATTTTGGTAGGAAAGGACACCCATATTGCCATATTTTTGACACGAGAAAATTGACGCGCAAATCGGTGAATTCGCCAAAATGACCTCCGACGACAAAT